GGCCCGGCTAGTTCACCCTATGCAGCAGGGAGCAAGGGGCGGGGCAGGTGCTCCTGTTCTCACGCCCCCAGGGTCGTCTCACCCACACCTACCCCACCAGGGTCAGCTCTACTGTGCTGCCCAGGGGAGGTGCAGGGCTTGCTCTCCTGAGTGCTGCAGCTGGTGAGGGGTTGGGTCAGCACCCCACTTGCTGCAGGTGGCGAGGGGTGGGGGGAAAGGGCATTTTTCCTCATCCATGCCACCCCATGGCAGATGAGGGGGGCAGGACCGGCAGGACCAGCTCTCCTGCTCTCAAGCCCTCAGGGCCATCTCGCCCACGCCCCCTGGACAGGGTCAGCTCCTTTGTGCTGTCCAGGCATGGTGTAGGGTCCGCTCTCCCTAGTGCTGCAGCCAATGAGAGGGCAGGACCAACTCTGTGCAGCCCTATCCTCTGGGTCTTCAGTGGCAACAGGAGTGAGCCATAGACATCAACACTGACTGTGGCTGCATCAGGGCCACGGACCCAGACAGCAGCCCAGGCCTGGGCATCACCATGGCCCTGGGTGGCAAGCACGATACCAGTCTCAGCCCACTCCTTACCGTGTTCACCTCTTCAGATATGACTCTCTCCACAGGACAGAACCCATATTCATTCATTCATTCATTCATTCATTCATTCATTCATTCATTCATTCATTCATTCATTCATTCATTCATTCATCCTCCCTCCCTCCCTCCCTCCCTCCCTTCCCTCCCTCCTCTCTTCTCTCTCCCCCATACCCCACCATGTATTTGCTCACAATAGTGTCCGACCACTCAGCGATGCAAGGCACCAGGTGGGCTCACGTTTTCTCCTCAGCACCCAGGGCAGGACACCTGGGGCAGGCATGTGGGTCTCCTCCTGCTCATCATAATGGCACTGGGCAGGGTTGTGCTTTATTCTCGACACCTGGGGCAGGCCCTCTTTCTTTCCTTTCTTTCTTTCTTTCTTTCTTTCTTTCTTTCTTTCTTTCTTTCTTTCTTTCTTTCTTTCTTTCTTTCTTTCTTTCTTTCTTTCTTTCTTTCTT